CAATAAAATTTGAGATCAGTTTTGTAAGAGATTTTCAGTTCACAGTTTTTCTTCAACGCACTAAAAGATGCGTTTACACTTTTAATCGACAGTTTAATTCTTCAAAATAGTTTTAATTTCCTTAATTCTTTATTTGCACAATTTTAATTTAAAAAATTTGAAAAATAATTAAACACCCGATTCAATTTAATTCATACCGTTTCAGTTCAATTCGAAATCGAAATGAGCTACAAAGATGTTTCGACTATTGAATTTATAGTCTTCGGAGAACGAAGATTAAGAACACGAACGATTATTGAACAAATAGAAAAATCGCCATTTTGTTGTTTCTTTTTTCTTAAAACATTTTCACAGCACTCTCACATGTTTCACTTATTTTATTTTAAATGCCTATCTATCCTTATCAGTGGGGTCTTGATTTTTTCTCGTCTACAATTTTCTAAAGCATTCTAAGAAACAAAACGCGATTTTTATATAATTACCTTTAATATTGTTTAAACAACTTTTTACAAAGTATTTATATATTATATTATAATACATTTGTAAATACAAATAATTTCATGATGTAGTAAAAAACTAATGCTTATTTTACATTATATTTTATTCCATTTATATATGGAAGAGCATTTATAGCTTTTCTTTTCAAATATTTTTAGGATTGAACTCAAGCAGAGAAGTTAGGTATTAGGCTGTTACTGCTTGTAATAAATAATGATCATCTTTCAATCATTATATGCTTTTAGTTTGGATACTTCGCTTATAAAGTACAAAGTGCCTTTTATAATTCCAGAATTTTGGAAGCGACATTACTTAATGTACTGTGTCTACTTTAGATCCAACATTAACAGCGAAAATGAATTTTGGTCTGGGGATCAAGCGAAAAATAACTCTTACTCACAGGTACTCATAAGAGAGAGGCAAGATGGGGGCTCTCTCAGAGTACAAAAATAACTATAAATTACTACAGATACGATATAAGGTAAGATTAACGATGAACGACCATTGGAACTTTTCTAGAGATAGTTCTGCGTTAAACTTTCAATCCTTTATATTGTACATAATTGGTTAATATCGTTCTAGATAGAATAACAAGCATTATAGCACGACAGCAACATAGCGGAGAAAATGAAGATATCGAGAATATACAAGATGATATTACTGTTTAAAGAAAAGTTCGAAACGGAACCATCAGTAGGAAATCGGATAAGAGAAAGACTTCTTTTAAAAGGAAAAGGATGAAGTATTGGCTTTCTTATTACAGTTTGATGTTTTTGACTGACGCCAGCTCGCAACATAAAACGTTAACTGTGGGAGGTGGTCTTTGGCGACCAATATCGACATATGGTTATAATGGCCAAGTACGTAATTAATAACTTATATTCATATGAAATATATAAAGTTCTAAAGCTCATTTACTCTAATATACATAGACGTCTTCACATCATAGTGTCGGTATGTATTTACTATGATTCATTCTGGGTATATGTTACAATACAATAATACAATACTATAATACAATACAATAATTTATAATAAATTCATCAGTTTATTTTATAGGCCATGTTTCTATAGCATATTACTGGGCTATTCACACGTTTGTCAATATTGCAGCTTACATTTTTGTCAGACAAGGTTTGATATTCTGTTACTAAAGACCTTAGAATATGTTCTGTTTACAGTTTTAAAATTCAATATAACTTCATAGCGCATAGTTTGTTGTCTAGTTACCAATGTTAAGGCTTTGTATAGCTCGTTTTATGGCTTCAGTGGAAAAGGCCATGTGTTTTTTTTCGATCAAATTTAACAATTTCAAAAATTAGATCATTCTTAGAATATGTGTACCATAAAATATAATTAATAAATGAATATGTATAAGTAACTATTATTAACTAATAAATAAATATTTTCGCTTTACAATTTAAAAAATTTCCATTCAAAAATTTCAATATATATATATATATTATGCATATTTATGTACTTATAAAACCTATTACTAATAGTATTATCTTCTCATTTTCAGTAGTTCAAATATTGACGATCTGAATAGTTTATTTCAAGAAAAGACAAGAACATTGACACTTGTTATTTTCATAGATAATCTCGTTCACAGCGCTTTATACATCCATCCATGGTATTATCATGTGCTTAAC